CAAGTGAACAATTGAAGCTGTTAGCCGCTACACTACATGGGCGCTTTCCGTTTGACAAAAAATTCCGGTTTGAATTTCCGGAAATTTCCAGTAACGAATGGAACAGCATTTTCCACAATTTCCGGGAAAGAGGGAAAGACGGCCTTGCGAGGTATACCGAAATTTTCCGAAATCTCTAACCGGGGATTTTCATTACATTTGATTTTCTTCCAGGAATTTCGAGAACTTTTGGTTGAATGGTTTGCATTTCGGAAATACAACAATTTTCGGATTTTCCGGAAACGTTCCGAGGAAATTTCCCTATTATCCCTACTATCTACATCTAAATTTGTAACGTGTGGTTCTAGAAAATATCCATACGCCCACCATGGAGGGAATTGAAAACTCCGGAGGGGAGGGGGGTCAAAGACCCGGAAAATTCCGGAGGGGAGGGGTTGGACGATTGATTTAGTTTCCAGATGTCCTTCGATGCAATACGGATTCAAGTATCGATCTAGCTGTTCAAAAATGGGTCGTGTGTAAACTAAGAAAATACAAGTGACTCGTGGAATATTCCATGGTATACCACTCAAAAGCGTTGCCTAACTAGTAGATATTAGCACGGCTTTCACTTGAGCGTCGAAAATAATTCGCATCTGCTTTGGTTTTGCACTACTACCCCCTGTGTGCTCTTTGTGATTGGTTTAAAAATCTCGCGCCACTTTCCCATCCAATCAGAAGTAAAACCAAAACACTCATGAACTTTTTCCCACGCTTCTGTCAACTACCTGTATTCGCTTCAAGTTTTGATTGTTTCACTGGATTGTCCGTGTCCTTTGTGATTGGACAGAGAGATTACTTTGGTTTTGTTTTTACATCATTTAACTGAAAACCACTGTACAACTAGTAATAGAAAATGCTAAGGCCGAATTCTTCTGGCAAATTCCTCTTGATTGAAACAAACAAACCTATTGACTATCAAAAAATATTAGTTGCCCCTTTCCACCACCGATCAATTCTACATATATTATGTATACATTATTTGAGTACAAATTTGAAACACTGAATTGAATTCTTGAGCTTCATAATACAACAAATTAATACATTAAAGGCTCAGAGCCCTGGCGCCATCAGCTGGACTGGTAACCACACATGTAGCCTTGTTACCATACCCCTCCTAACAAACAAACAAACAAACAAACAAACAAATAAAAATAAAATAAATTTAAAAAATAACTTTATTAACTTAATTGTTTTAGCCGAGGGATAACCCTCTACTAATAAAGGACACCTACCTAAAAAGAAATTACAAAGCCCAACAATAATTTAAAATTTTGTCTATTTACAAGCATTTACAAAAACCCTAATCAATAGACCTTTCCCGCATTCCACTTCAGTGCGTGCAAACAATAGTACCAGAACGAGGTCGGGGTGGACAATTTCATACATTTGCTGTATTTTTGTCCACCCTGACCTCGACTTGGTGCTATAGTTTGTTGGAATGCGGGAAAGGTCTATTAGTTATTGCATAGATTGTAGCTTCAGCATCCCTCATCCAGTAGAGTTTACAGGTTCATCTTACATATGTTCGCTTTGAAAACATTAAGACTGGTAGCCAACCTTAATAAACAGCAAGAAGAGTTGGAGAAGAGTTGTCCAAGTAGGTTTACCTACTCTCCAAGGCCATCTTTTACCGATTGAACGTTTAAATAATACTAATACTGCACAATTGCTCTATGTGCTGTGACTTGTCCCTGATGAGTGAGTCAAGCATACTGTATATCCAAAACATATCCCAACAGAAAAAAAATTTGACCTGCCCCAAAGGGCCACCCAACCTTCAAACAAGACCAACCCCTATGGCGACTGTTTCATTTCTCACATAAACAATTTGCTGCTATTGATCAAGAAATGAACCAAAAGTTCTCCTGCCCATGGCGTCTTGTTACAAAATCTACATCCTTACTGTAGCAGGGATTCTCTCTTTTTTTGTGCAGAATGAACTCCCAAGAGCTCTTTTATAAAACCAATTTTTCTATCTACTGCCACAAAATACTTAGTCTTAGCTCCCACTGATATTAAAAATATAAAAAAATAATAATAAAGAGTTCTATTGCGCAAATTCAACTTTAGTTTTCAAATGAGCTTTACAAATGGATGGAAAATAATAAAATCAATCAATCAATCAATCAATAGATAAATAAATAAAATGATGATAGTACTGATAGCTTCTAGCCACACTAAAAACTCTGGGATTGCACTGTTACCACAGGAATACCTACCTGGATGTGCTTAATAAGACTGTCAACGGACGACCTTTTCACCAGAGTAACAGTACACCCACCAAAGCCGCCACCCGTCATACGGGAACCATATACTCCATCAACCTCTAGAGCAAGTTTGACCAGTAAATCAAGTTCTTCACAGCTGACCTCATAATCATCTCTGTAATCAAAGACATTAGTAGTACTTTGAGCATAAATCAATTGTGCTGCTAGACTTGAACGATATAATTTGACTGGGTGAAGTGGTAGCTTATTAATAACACTATTTTTAACTTGATTTTATTTTGAACTAATGTCGTGGAAAGCCAAATTGCTTCAAATCATCACCAAAGCTTGAATTGCTCTTCATAATTTCCTTCGAAAGAACCTGCAGTATTGGAGTACTTGGGGTCAAAAAAAGGACCAGATCTGGCTCTCCCAGACGAGTAGATTTTCCTGTCAGGCAAGTTACTTTTCATTCTCACTGGCTTGATGGGCAAGGGCCCAGGCAAGTCATCTGCCAACTAAATTGTAATAAAAATATACTAAGACTTGCCCAGGGCAGGCAAAATTTGAGAGCTGCTTGTCTGAAGGGTAAGCTGGAATTCAAGTTTTATTTGAAACTGGTACTCTGTTTTGTTATTCTGTAATTTGCACGTCACATAACAGTACAATTCATTTCAAAAGTGCACATTGATGATATGAAAATTCAAGATAAGATGATAACTCATCACAGTGATGATAAGATGGAAATTTATGAAAAGTAGCCTCTGCCTCAATTAGTTCTGGAACTAGTTGTGGGGGCAAGCAAATTGTAACTATGTGTAAGAAAACAAAATAAAATTAAAGTTTAAGCTCAAGATAAGAAGATTTTTGTTTCATCACCGTAGGGAATTATGGCTTTCCACCATCAGCTTTCCAAATTTCTCATAGTCTTCTTTTTCAATTGCCACTGCTGCTTCAGTAGTCCTCTGTATTTCTCCAATCACATGCCGTGCCCGTCGGAACACAACATCTTCCAGCTTACCTTTGTTGGCTTTGAAGTATTACAAGAATAGAGCCATTACATTTTGTAAAAAAATTCTCAGTTGCTTAAAATTTCAAACTAAAAAGAAAAAAACACTGGTAAAGATATGACTTGGAGATCCCTCAGTAATATTGACTTATATTCATAAATGTAAAACACTCAAATCTTATTGATTCTCAGCATGCCCAATGTTTCACTGATTTAGTGAACATTGGAGAGTGAGGAGCCAAGGTGTGCAAAAACGTGTCCCATAACACGGTCAATCCAAGCTGAACATCATTTGTATGGTAGCTAGCATACGTTATCTTGTTCCTCCATGTTGACTGAATACTCTGCTTTGTGTTCATAGAGTTACATCCATTGAAAATACTACTATGTCTTGTTTCAGTTACAAAATTTCTGTCAATGTGTGATATTAAACGGAAATAAATTAGGAAGCATTCAATGGTCTCTACATCCATTTTATGAGCACTTGTACAGTGTAAGCAGAAAGCTAATCAGTTAATGATTTGAAATAATCCCCATCACTAAAAAAGCCTCATCTGAAGGTATTGAAAAGCAACAGTGATGCCAGGCCATAGTTGGGGTCATGTAGAATATTGAGAAGGAAAAATTTTAAAACAATCTTTTAACATAAAAATTATTTACCTTCCAGTTCAGCCATAGTAGCTTCTCGTAGACTTGGTTTTCCTAATGCCGCTGCTGCTGATTCACATTGTTTTCTTCTTGTTGGATACTCACTTCCTGTCAGCTCGTGCCGCACATTAGAGTTGGTTACCAAAACAACTAAATCAGGGTTTGTCATTGGTACAAGTTTGGCCTCCATAGACCTGACAGGAATATGTTGTAGTTCATTATAATGATTATAATGATCATTTCAGTCAAAGGAGCTGATCAGAAACATTCCACTAGAAATAAATCTTGAACAGTTTTTCAATTATGACGTATGAAAACCATGCATACACTCAAGGCTGGAGGGGAGGAGGGTTAAAGCTCAGTGTTTTCTAGAATAACATAACCTAACTGAAAGTTCAAGTCATCAAATCAGTCTTCTTGAAATTCCAGTTAAGCTTCATATTTTCCTGCTTAGGTGAATTTTAAGAAAAACTCAGACTGTTTCAATGGCTTAATTTTTGGAAAACCCCATCCACACCAAAAAGTTAATTATTTTCCTTGGTATAGGGTTGGTATAAATAATACATGGGTCCAAGCATACATGTAAGACTACAAGAAAAGCTATCTGCCTGGGTAACTTGGAAAGTCTACAAATCCAAGTTATGAAATGTACAAGGGAACACTTTAGATGACACTAAGGTTGGGAAGTTTCAGTTTAACATTATTAGGTAATGGTGCATGAAAAAGCCATTGACAATGCTTGCTAATATAATAGGCTAATGATTTATTCAGAGATTGTCAGTACCTCAACAACTGAATTATACACTATTATATATGTTGTGGTTCAATTTCACCCTTGATACAATTTAACATTTTCCTTTGCTCTGGTGTATCACATATTCTAACTATATGAAACAAAGGAAAATACCAAATTTTACCAAAGGTAGTAATAATTGAAGCACAACATATATACAGTATAAGTGAAAACAACTGATTTAAAAATTTTGACCACAATGCCAAGTAAAGATTAGAAGTAAAATAATCCATACCTGCAGTCAAGCAGTAAAGCACTGCCTTTCTTGCCCATAACAGAGATAAATTGGTCCATAATTCCACATGGCATATTAGCAAAATCATGCTCAGCTTTCTGACACGCCAGAGCCTTTGCTTTTAAATCTTTTTCTTCTTTCCCACTTAGCTGCTCTAGGAATGTATATGTGGCAACTTCAAGGGAAGCAGAGCTAGATAGTCCTCCCCCAAGAGGAACAGAACTCGCAATCATGGCATCAAAAGCTGGAATTCGCTCTGGAAAATTAGCAATAACACCTTTGACATAATTTGCCCATGACGGCTTCCCAGGCACTAAGGGACTATCTTTTGTTGGAACAGGGAACGTTATCATCTTTGGCTCGTCGGCACCTTTAGCACTGGTACCTAACTGACAGATATTACCGTCTTTCTTTCTTCCAACTATTACAGTCACCAACTCTAAGGCCTATATCAAAAAGAAACCAGTAAATTGATAATCAGAACTCCAAACCACATTTTCAGTCCAGTGACCACTGCATGTTTTGGAGGGTCTGAGGGTTTCAATAAGGGCTTGGCACCAGGCAAATTGACCAGCTGTGACAATGACCTTGTCTGCCTGGTTTCATCATATAGAGGCTGTGAAAAACAGTTACCTTCTGGCTTAAAACATTCTAATGAAACCCCTAAGTGCCTTAATTAAAAGTTTTGCTTTATGCATCATTTGGATTATTTATCATATCATGAATAAGGTAACACATGAATAATTTACCACTTCAATAATTACTGTACATTACTCTGAAATTATTATTTCTTCATTCTTGATGGTTTGTGAAACATGAAAGGACAAGTCCCTATTAAGTCCCTGTGATAAGTCCCATGAAGAGTCTAAACAAGGGGACAGGTGGCAGAGACAAGTCCCTTGAAGTTATTGCAAATGTACACTCTTGTTTTGATGTTGCCTTTCCATTGATTAGGACTAAAAACAGTGCCCTTGTTGAATAAAGCACCCCACCCCATTGCCCTAAATAAACTTGAAGTCATCTGATAAATAATAAATGGAATATTTTCACAAGCTATAAAACTATTCTAGCATGTTTTGCTAGATTTCTGATGGTAAATAAACCTTTTTTGATTGTCTTTTCCAATTGATTATTAAATTAAACATTGCCCTGTTTAGACTGTAATAACACACCCCATCCCATCACCCTAAACAAACTTGATGTCACAACTGATACATGAAATTTTTCACAAGCTATAGAACTATTTTATCATGTTTTACTACATTGAAAAGGTAAATAAACCTGTTCTGATGTTCCCTTCCCATTGATTACCACTTAAAATATTCCCCCCACAACGTCCCCCATCACATCACCTAGAAAACTTGACTTACTAGCTAGCTAAAATTGCATCAATTTTTTTCCCATCAAGCTAGCGATATAACTATTCTGTCATGCTTTGCTAGATTCCGAAGATAAATAACCCTCTGGTCTGAAGAAAACAAACACCTTATTGGTTGATTTATAGAATTATAGAAGCTTTATAATAAGGCTAAATTAAATTCATAATTAGGACTGTCACGTCGCACACAGAAAAAATCATTCACCTCCTTACCATGGGAAAAACAAAGCCATCGTTGTAATCTGTATGTTCCCCGATAAGATTTACTCTCCCTGGTGCACAAACTGCGAGCGAGGGACTAGCCTTAAACTTTTCTTCAAAAGAAGTCTTAGCTTCCTGAACAACAACATCTACCTTCTTGGCCGCCATTTTGGTGTATTCGTTCTCAGGCTCCAGTCATACGACTTGCATGTGAGGGGACGCGGAGGCACGTGGCAGACATGGCAACATCCCATGCTCCCCGAACACAGAACGTGCCGAAAATTATTGTTTCTTGATTGCGATTGTGTTACATTTAACTTTAAACAGAAATTTTCAGGCTTTTTTTCTTTTCTTCTTCCTCTTCTTCTTCTTCTTTTTTTCTTTCGTTCTTTTTTTTTTTTTTTTGCCGAGATGATCATTACCTTTGGTTGCCAGTATGCACGGAGGGAGTAGGCAAAAATCCTCGAATTAGCGCCTCCTCTCAAGTAAGCGCTCCTTAAGGCGGGACTTAACCTAAAATTCTGAAAGAAATTCGAATTTTTTTTTTACGAAACTCGAATCTTAAGTTATTGCAGTTTTATTTTGATAAGTACTGTTACTGTAAGTTTAAAGCTCGTTTTCTCAAAACGAGTTATTTTCGCCTTCTAGAAAAGATATCTTGAGAAGGATTTATTCAATTGAGCTAAAATTTTCAGGATTTGTTGTTTTGAGTACGTTCTGTGGGATAAGCCTAGAACTTTTCCATCCAGTGCATTCTGTCAAAGTCATGTATTGAAACGTACGCTAGATTTTCTGTATCAGACAACTGGTTATCATTTCACGTGTTTTTAACTTTTCAAAAATCTCTATGCCTATGCCAGCAAGCTCTTTGTCTTCTTTTAAAAAATGTAAAAATTATTCCTTTTGATCAGTTCTTGCAGGAGTTATCTTTTCTCAAGCTAGCCCTGGCATTCCCTAGTAGGTGGCAGATTTTATCAGCCTGTGTCAGGTTACAATACAGTTATAGGGTACACAAATATTTTTTCCATAATCTTTGCTCTTTGAGCTTTTTAAAAATGTATACTTTGCCATGGTTTGGAGTTAACTCTTAGCCACGAGAAAATGTTTGAAACATAGTGTGTTTTTAGGTTAAGTCCCACCTTAATAATCGAATAAGAACCCCGGCCTCCTATCGGTCCGAAGTTTAAAGTAAGCCCCACCCCGATTTCCTCCAATAAGCGCCCCCCTTCCCCTGGTTTATGGAAGAGTACTGAGACAACAAAGGATGTATAGGTTAGCGCTTTACATAGGGTAAACCTCATTGCACGTTTCCCCAAGAAAAGTTACTATGACTATAGTTTTGGTCGTGTTCAATCACAAGCAAGTGATTATCGACTCATTCAAGCACTGCACATTGACCGTCGCAACGGATGGTACTGAAGATCTACTGGTTCATTACCTAAAGCCCAAACAACCTTGTGCAGCGGGCCTAGACCGGCTAAATAAAGAGGTTATCATTTATGTAGTTCTTCAAGAGAGACAGGATCCTTCCGAGACTTCTGAGGGACTGACACATACATATTACAAAAAACACCCGATCATATCTAACCACGATTTGGAAAAATTTAAATAAGCNCCCCCCCCTTCATTAAGCGTCTCCCCGCGTGTTCTTCTTGCGGTATGCGGAAAACTCCGCCCTGAGGTCCAAACCATTTCTGACAAAAAAAAAAAAAAAATCACAAAAACCCTTCAAACGTCTGGGGGGATTTGACAGAGCCATAACCCTGTTATACATGCGTTCCATAGAAAATGGCATTTTCAGATAACTACAATAACCTAGGCACACTGGATCCCTACTTATCCGTTTCCTATAATCTTGGTTTGAGGACCCCTGTAAAATTACTTGCAGTGCCTTTCTTTGGGATGATCCGGATCCTATCCAAGATCGCTCGGATCATGGTGCGTCAATCAAAGCAACCAGTGAATCCACTCTTATAAAACGTTTTTCACCCCTAAGATGCACTAATTCTAAAAGAACACATATCCTCCTGTAATTTTTCCAGGTATCAGTTCACTTTTAGTGAATCTTTATTTTCTTTGCTTCCAAAACCTATGCCATCGTCAAAGGCTATGCGGAAAAATGACCGGACAAATGTCGTTTCGTTTTCAAAAATATAGATTGTATAGTTAAGGCTACTGGGCGTAGTTTGAATAATATATAAATATTTCTAGTCGTGGCCTGCGCTGCTCGCAACACGCAAGAAAACTGCCAGAAACGCAGGCAAGTTTCAAAAGTTGACGCACAAGAGTTTGAACACAAGCATTCTCAGCTCCGACGACCATCAATTGCATGTTAAACGACGAGTAACAATTCTTTGACTGTCATCGGAATTAGAACAGGACCGAACAGGTTCAAATTCAAGAGCACAGATGGGCTATCTGTCAGACGAGAGCGCAGTTTGAGATTTCGTCTGTAGCTCCTATGTAGACGCTCTTTGGACTGGTCACGCATTGTAGGAGTGCGTGACAAGCAATAAGAACGTCTGCGTATTAAATAGGCTATGCCGTCTGTGGCCCGTACTACAATTTTATACAAAAAAAAAAAACCCTTGCCACAAGGATCATACAGTGAATCTTAACAAATTACTCTTTTTTCCAAGTTGTACAATAACAACAACAATCAACCATTTATTTACCAGAAAATAAAGAATACGAATGACATCGGCACTTCCTTCGAAAGCGTTTTCAATCTTGCTCACAAATAACTAACCTTATACATTTTCAGTTTACTTTCTCGCTTTGGAGTGTTTCTACCTCATAAATCTGTTCTTTTGAGTTTCCTTTTATTTGAAGTTATTTTGTACCTCTGAAAAATAGCCTGCGTTGCAGGTGTAAACGGGGAAAGGGTAGAGAGAAAAAAAACCGCGAGAAAGAAGGGGAAGCAACGTGTTCCTCCTCTCTCCCCCTTCCGTCCATCTAAGATTAGTTCTGAATGTATAAACTGCCAAACAGAATGACTGTATAAAAAGACTGCATCTCCGTTACAATCCAATCACTTCTGATCTGGACTTCGGACACTGGAAGAACAAAAACAAAACACATTTTATTAGATTAGCCTTTTAGGACTTTTAGTAAGGATAAAAACCATTTTAAAATCCCGCTTCAGCTTTTTCAGAGATGAATCGTGATACATACATACAGGCACAGGTTTTACACCAAGCTAGTCCTTATAGGATATTGCAAAACAATGTAAATACATGTATAAGAGTTTGTAAGTCTTGTACGAGTATGCAAGGTAAATATCCAGCAGCTAGAGATACAGAAAAGAAATACAATAATAACGCCCTCCTCTGCTTTCTTTGTGTTGAAAACATATCATACAACGATGCAGTGAACGTGGTATACCTGTGATGCTTGCTCAAAGAAAATCAAAATTTTACAATTTTGGCACACACACACACACGCACACAAGAAAAAAAAAAAACAGTTCGCAAGACCACAAAAAATAGCTGTTTCAAATGATAAAAAATAAACTTGGGATCAATAACAACAAAACTTGATGTTTGTGAATGTGACGATTATACAACACAATTATTATAAAAGAGAATATTGTGTAAACTTACCTTGTTTGCATAATGTCCTTTGTCACCACACTAAACAAAATAGAACAATAACAGAATATTATAAAACGTAATCTCTTGGACAGAATGCCATTCATGAGGCAACTAAATGCACTTGAATTTACTTAACAGGGTAATGTTCATGAACGGCTATTTGTGGAGAACCCATGAGAATCAAGCATTTTGCAATATCTATTATCACAATCAGATATAGATCCATTCTGTATGCACGTTTTAATGTTAAAATGGCCTGCTTGCATTAATTGGCCTTTTCTCTGAGGATATGACAAGCTGTTATCTTCACGAATGCAAAAACAAATTGGCAAAGCATCGTCTCATTTGAATTACTTCTCATCTTAAAACTCTTGTCCTGTGCTCTCAGAAGAGCGAAAGCATTCTAATGGCTTCTTTAAGCTTCTAATGTGTCTTCTAATGCCTAAAGCTTGTTACATTCTAACATGATGCTAATACTCAGGGCCGGATTTTTCTGTAATACCCAAAGGCATTATGAGCGATGTAAACACTCAGCTGGCTTGCAAAAAATGGGACATTAAAAATGTTCACAACTGTTACAGCAAAATAATAAATTTCTTATTAACTGGTGGAATATTGCCCCCCATCTCTCTTAGACATTTCTCAGGCAATCTATTCTCCCAGTATGGCCTGCACACTGACTCAACAAGAAAAAGGTATACCTGAGTCAGAACTTTTTTTTT